CCCGTGGTGGGAAGAGCACAGATAGCCCATTGTGTAGCTTTCTGCTAAACTACAAACAAACCATGAATCATTTCACTTGCTTTAAGAAAAATTGCCCATATCAACTGTATAAGAAAAATTATTTACAAGTTTCAAACTCTACTGATTTAATTAAGTTTCAAGTCATAAGCATTTCATAAATATCCATTTTGTTCCGGTTAGTTTTGATACCGAACAGGGCTGTTAGGGTCTTCTTCTAGTTATGAAAATATCTGTACGAAACTGAAAAAAATTACTTATGAATTTATAAGATTTATTGTATTTTTGTGACACGTATATATCGAACGTTTTGAATATCTGACTTTTAAAACTTTAAACGTGTTGACGTGTTTGCTTATGCTATTATATAAGTTTTATTGACATCACTACAGTTTTTGTTGATACTCAGTCTTTCTGAATCAGAATTATTGTCACAAGATTTTACGATGCAATTCTAACTTTAATATATTCACAAGCCTATTTCCAAGCTGAATGTATTCTTCTCAGTGATCAATAACGTAATGGAAATGTGCCAACTTTTTGTGAGACATTTTCAACGATATTCAGAGAACCAAAATGTTAGTAAAAGCAAAAGTAAAACAAGCAACAGCCAGGGGGCATCGGGCTATTATAATCAGTTATTATTATTATATTTACTATAGCAATTGCTCAAGTTACAAAGTATTGTAGGCTGCCCGCAAAAGTAAAAAAAAGCAACAGCCAGGGGGCATCGGGCTATTATAACCAGTTATTATTATATTAACTATAGCCATTGCTCAAGTTACAAAGTATTGTAGGCTGCCCGCCACCTTCTAATTGCAATAACAAGTTAAGCAAATAAAATATAAAATTTATATTTATTTATCATTTTTATCTCTCACAAAAGCACAACGAAATATGTCTTACTTGAGTAAAGAAGTACATTGTGTTAATAAAATAATAGGTAGGCATACAATGCTTTATAAGCGTAAGAAAAAGCTTTTTTGATGGTGGAACATACTACATGTTTCGACAGGACTTAGGTCTGTCTTTTTCAGATATACGTCTTGTTTAATGTCTCAAAATAACAGTTAGGTACCGAATTTGGGCCTTAACTTCAAAGTATTTATTTTGGTGAGCGGACATGTCTCGTTAAGCCTTTTGTTAATGCACAAGCTATCAACGCACTGTGTGATCCGATTTACAGAGGGTTGAGTACGTTATTTTAAGACGATTTTTATCATGCAAATCAGCAAGTTACGTGACGACCACAGTAGATATGAAGTCGCGGTGGAACAGAATGCATCAGAATAACAGCCCTTTCTGACCCAAGATGGGGATATTTCTTGTACTTAATGGTATTGAAAATCAAAGGAATGTGGATTAATTTGGGGTACCAGGATGATCCAAAAAGAGCCTTGCAATAAGTCGTACTTCAGCCATAGTAAGAAAGGTGCAGCGTCTTGTAATCGGTGAGAATCCACGCACAAAAGCCAGTGGCAAAAACCGTCCACGTGTCCCAGGAAACGGTACGCAAAATAATCAAGGAGGATCTCCGTCTGAAAAAGCAATACAACTCACGTATACACAAGCTGCTTCCACGATTTATCCGTTCAATCGTCGCATGCCTCAAACTGCTGGAGAGTGAAACGGGTAGTTGTTGTTGCTTTCTTAGTCCAAAACTCCACAATTGGCAGTCTACCCTCTGTTCACCACGGGGAATTGAATCCCAGATTTTAACATTGTAAGTCCGTAAATTTACCACTGACCTACTGAGGGATATGAAATGGTTATTCGTTCTATTCAGTTCGCAAGCCACAGTGCCTATAGATTTCTGTGCGATCAGACTGTTTGAATGGGTGCTGGGAAACCGCATTTCTCGTGCACTATATGACCTACAGTAATCATACACACAGAAGAGAGGTGTGCTTAGGACATGGTAGCTTTACTACGGAATATTTTGCAATAAAAACTACGCTATAGGACTATTGTTAAGATGCATGACCAGACGTGGCGACATGGACTGTGACGATGCGGTGAGACTCCAAAATCGTTTTAATATAACATACTCATCCTCTGTGTCCTACTGCTTTAGTCACTGCTGTTTTTATGATCAACACTGCACAAAGAAACTATGTGATAGTTATTCATAAGTGTACTTCCATTTTTGTTGGCTGATGAATAACAAGATTTGTTGACATACAAAAGTATTCTTAAAAATGTTAATGGTACAAAATTCAACGAAACCAACAAACACGCGAAACGTTATTGTCATTATTTGTATTGTATGACTAAATGGGAATCCAATATTTATAGTTTAATTTAAGTGATAAGTCTCGGTGCATTTTTTCATGAATTCTACGTTAAGTATTATAAATAGCTACACTGATCAGAATTTGTTAATTCTCATAATTAATATAACACAACAGAACATTAAAGATTGGGAAATATAAAAGATATGTATTAAAAATATCATCTTACAGTGTTAGTTCTGTGATTATTTCGTAGCTTGAAAAATAGACAAAAAACTATAATAAATATAAAACGAACGCAAAAATCACTTATCATATGTAATCGGATATTAAAAGAGTTTATATATCGTCAAGCACAATGGGCTGTCTGTGCCCCCTACGGGTATCAAAACGCAGTTTCTAGCGTTATAAGCCTTCAGACTTACTGCTGAGCCACTAGGTGCAACTATTGGAAAAGAGGGGATTATTAAATAAGTTTCTCAATATTTTAATTAAATTTGGATTTACGTAGATCTTATTGAACTGGTAAATAAACTTAGAACTACTCAGTGAGGCATTGTACTGCTCTTTTAAAACTGAACTATAAACAAATCAATATCAAATTTACACCACATTTTTAAAAATATAAAAAATACTTGAGGTGAGATCACGTGGCAAGCGGTTCCACGTGATCTCGACAGAGATTGGAGACATAAAATCAATTACAGCTGTCTTTTTATGATTGAACCCATGGAGTCTTCTTATTGCATAACGAATCAGAAAAATTCATTTGACATTTGCATCTCCACTATGTCTCTCTTACACCTACACGTTCTTACAGTTACATACATGCCATCATTTTTGATTTTCTATCACGTGGAAACTTATTAGGTGAAGTTCCTTTTCGTAAAATCCGTTTGAGGTTTTACAATATAAATACGTGCATACACACACATATATATATACATAAAACAAATACAATGTCATGAAACTAAAATTCAAACTAATTCCTCCATTACCACTCCTCGTTATCATCCTTAAGTCATAATGGATAATGCCTGTAGTCATAGCACCCAACTACGTTGGGGATATTACACCTATCAGACAAAATCCAAACGCCAAATGTCAAACTCGTCAGCAACTAAAAAGAATCAGTTAAGAGTTGGGAATTGAGCACTTGAACCCACAACGTCGCAACTCCAACTGTCTTTCGCTGTCTGCAGCCAACTGTGGGAAGGCATTTACCCTTAATATTTAGAAATAACCTCAACGTAGACTTAAACCATCCTTAAATTCTAGAATGTAAAACTCCGCCCTTTTATTTGATGTTATACATATAGGGGAAAAAAACGATATTCTTATAACAGAAATTTAGGGTGGCTCATTTCTACTATAAGAATGTAGTTTTTATTTTATTATAGTGGAGATGCAAATGTCAAATGGACTTTTCTGATTCATTATGCAATCACAAAAAAAACAATATTTTTATAGTGCTGATTTTAATCGCTTATGAACAAATAATATAATTCATAGCATTAGATATATATATATACATGCATGACCAAACATAAAAACCTTTACACATCAGTCTAGCTAGAATTTGGGTTCCTTTCATACAAACTGAACAACAAGCTAAGTGAAATATGATTCAGAGATTCTAAATGTTTAGCATAATACAAGTAGACAGCTCTACCTTAATGCTCGAGAAAAACAGTAATTATTAGAACCATATAACTCTCTTGCTTTGATGTACATATCATGATAAAGAACGCAATGCTTTTATAGTGTAATAAAATAAAAACATTTTCTCTTTACCTCCTTGAAAGACCATAACAAAGACGACAGCTACTGTGTACGCTGAACGTGTTACCCAAACGCCAGACATTAGCACTGCGTTGCGGACTTATCTTCAGAATGTAGCTGGAATTGAACTTTACAGCAACGCACTGTGAGGCTAGTTTTGACTTTCAAATAAATATCTCAACTATAAAGAGGTTTATTAACAAATTAAAAGTTACAAACAAACGTTTTCTGGCCAAGATTTTAGTGTAGGTTCTCACGCTAGAACAATGTCTGATGATTGGCATGCGCAACTCGCTGGAATAACGATTCGCTGGAAACCGAACACTGGCGTCTGTGCTAACGCCGAAATTTCCGGATTTCTATTGATTTAACCTAACCCAAAGACGCTGAGGTTATGTATGGGGGACAATTCTTCAAATACGAAACATTAAGTACCGGTAGATGGGGTAGCGATACGTGTTATGATTATACATAAAGCGTGTAAATGTATATAGGGTGTAATGAGTAACATTTGTTGTAACTTGCCACCTTTATTACCTATGTTTATATATACTAATATGACATTAGTAAGTTATAAATATTTAACATTTTGTATTTAAAGGAAATCCGAATGTTATTTAGTGTTTTGTAAGGTAATAAAACTTTCTAAAATTTCAGAAAATTGAGAAAAAATTACCTTTACACTCCACATAATATAAGTTATGTATATTGACCCTGATGAAGCCGCAGAGGCGAAACGTTGGTTAAAATATATATAAAAAAATTGTCTACAGTTTGTTTGTTTTTGAATTTCGCGCAAAGCTACACGAGGGCTATCTGCGCTAGCCGTCCCTAATTTAGCAGTGTAAGACTAGAGGGAAGGCAGCTAGTCATCACCACCCACCGTCAACTCTTTTACCAACGAATAGGATTGGCCGTCACATTATAACGAACCCCAAGGCTGAAAGGGCCACGATGTTTGGTGGTACGTGGATGCGAACCCGCAGCGTGCGAGTCGAGGTCCCTAACCACCTGGCCATGCTGGGCGTATTGTCTGCAGAAAGTCATCTCCAACACTAAAATTTAGTCTCTTGCAAAATATCGCTTGTTGTTAAGCACAAAGCTATACACTGGGCTATGTCCTGCCCACCCGGGTATCGGAACCCGATTTTTAGTTTTATAAGCTCTTATCCTTACCGTTGAGCCACTAGGAGTTTCACTCGTGTGCCTCTACCTATTTTTTTTTCCCAAAAACTTGTTTTGAAATATCGCATGTCTAAGGGTTGATATTTTTGGGTCTTGGTTGATTTTCAATCATGATAAAGATTATCCCATGAATGAAGTACAGAATACTATTTAACTGTCCAAAGAAAATGTTTTTTTAGAGCAAAACCACATTGGGCTATCTGCTGTGTTCACCGTGGGGAATCAAGCCCCGGGTTTTAGCGTTGAAAGTCCGCAGACTTTTCGCTCTCCCACAGGGAAGATACACAGGTTAGAGTTAAGACAATTTACTATTTTTTCGTTTTATTTAGAAGTTTTGAGGTTTTTCTAGTGAGATTTGTGGTATTGGTTTTTATCTGAATCCAGCTCTGTAAAGTTATTTTGACAAAGCTCGTTTAAATGTTTATTATTTCAAAAATGTACACTAGTGATACGTGCTTGATAAGTGATTTATATTGACTGTCTTGTTTATTTGAAACAAATATTTATTGACATCTTTTGCGTTGATTTGCTCGTTTGACAAAAAGCTTGAAATTAAATTGGCTCAAAAAAATTGATTGATTTCCTTGTAGAGCTCGTGATGAATTATGTTGGTTAAGGATCCTGATTATAAATATATGTAACTGATAATCAAAACCAGAAACCTTACGAGTTTTCTTCACAGAGCGAGACGAACGTGGTCCAGTGGTTAGGTGCCAGACGATGGATCTGTAGATCACCCCCCCCCCCACACACACACACACAAAACCCGCGTTCCACAATTTGAGACCGTGGGTGCGTTATATGAGTGGCAGTAAAACCTCATTATTCGGTCAGACAAAAATAGCCCATGCATTGGCGGTGGTTGATGCTGACTAGCTGCCGCCTTCTCGTCTATCAGTCCAAAATCAGGGACGACTAGCGCAGATAACCCATCAGTAACTTTGCGTGAATATACCAAAACAAACAAACAACTTTTTTTTTTACAACTACAAACTGTATGATGCACATTCTGCTCGTATGAGTTATAAATCACTCCACGTGTAAATTACAAAAATAACAATAACTGAATTTGATATTTTGCACATTTTATATTTATTTCCATTTTATAGGAATTGAGTGGTTAAACGAAGTAGTCCCCCTCTAAACGATAAAGGACGTTTTTTACAATATAACTTGGTAACATAAGTCTTGTTACTCTCGTAATTAAAAGCCATTTTCAAAATTCTTAAATGTCTAATGCTCATTTTGTCTTAGATTCCTGCATAAAGTGTTCTCGAAACTTATATAGAAAAGCTATCACTAATTTTTATAATGTTTATTAACTCGAAGTACTTTTAATTGGTTGACACTATATATTACATAAGACATACTTAACACCTATATCGGACCTGCCAGTCACCACCTTTTGGCTAAAATTCACTAGACTTTAACTCCATGCTATGACATTGCTTCTAATATCGAGATACTGCACTAATAAAAAAAACAATCAAGTTGTTAGGTGAAAATTGTATAGGATTTCATTATTACAATTTTTACATGTCATTTATAAGAGACTAAAAGCAACTATCATTTTTTTCTTTCTTTCTAGGTACATAGCTATACTTTGGATAAATCGTATCAGCATTTCATATTTCTCATGGTTAGCACTTCGTGCTACATTCACGTCACAAACAAATCTAGAAGCATTAACCCCTGTAAAACGCCTTTCCGTGTGTTGCACATTTGCTCTGACAAGAAGTCACCAGTTTGTGCGTACCCTCATGTACACGGACGAAGACTGGTTTGTAGGAACAAAGATTTTTGTGTTTGTGGTATATTAGCATACCACGGGTTTTCTATCCTCTTGCATTAATACTGAATTTTTTCAAACCTTGTTATTTGTGTAGTTTCCACATACCACGTTCTTCAAGAACGTCGTTAAATTCATTTTGCTCTAGCTATTTATTTTTTGTCATTCATCTACAGTAGTATGTTAAGTTAGACAGTTATCTTTCCCACTAGCAGTCAGATATCCTCTCGAGGAAACGACCTCTCTTTTGTCTCATTGGGAATAACCAGTCATACGGGTAGCGCTAGTCGCTCTGAGTAAGTCTGTTGTCAACGTGAGATTTATTCAGCTTTGAACAGGATCTCAACACTTATTCTTGCTTAAGATCTCATCTAAATAAATTAGAATAACATGAAACCTAACTATCTAGTCATTGTAGCAAGTATAATACATTTTAACTGTGTATGTTGAAATAGATAATTTATTATGATTGTACATTTGTTTTTAGTCTCTCTTTAGTTCCCGTGAACCATCAGATAATATGATTAATTTGCAGTATCTTCCGTTATTCAGCAAATATATCTTGTTATTCTTTGAGGAAATCAGTGCTATTTGGAAATACCCCAAGCTAATAGCATAATATATATATATATTTATTTATTTTCTGTCTAAGAAATATTAAGACCTGCTGTTGTTATAAAATATACTTTTGATATATACTTGTTTATTTCTGAATATTCTACAACAATAATGTCAATTTTTCACAACTGAAAAAAAAAGGCGTGAAAACATCACCACTTTAACTTAGATGAGATTTTGCAAAATAAATTCAGAAAACAAGACTGAAAACAAAAAGCATATCACATAAAAGATAGATAAAGGTAGGGTATAAATTTTATTGTGGAAAGGGCAAAATTTACTTTAGTTAGAGAGGATTCTAGCAAAATAGGATTCACATTAGTCCTAGATGACTCAATAAAAAAGCTGAGCTGTTAGCAATCACAGATGCATTCATTAAAATAACTGAATTATCACATTTAAACAATTTAATTTATATGAGAGAGAAAAATGTTATACTATTATTTCCCCGAAAGCTGCCTGGAGGGGTTACCTGTTTTAACCAGTCGCACCACTATACAGTAGTGTGTTGTCTGTGATTCAGTCAGTAGACATTAAAATGACGTCACATAAGGGACGTACAATGTTGTAATTTGTACTGTCGTGTCGTCCATGTAATTACAATGAAATGACTTGATATTGGGTGAATTATAATATTCTGTTTCGTGATTTTAAATTTAGCAGACTGTGATATTAGTATTGTTTTGTTTTTAATTATGCACAAAGCTACACGAGGGCTATCTGTGCTCTGCCCACCAAGGGTGTCGAAACCCGGTTTCTAGCGTTGTAAGTCCGCAGACATACCGCTGTGCCACTGGGGGGCGTGATATTAGTAAAACATTTAATTAAAATATAATAAAGAAACCCTGTATCACTAGTATTATTTTCCAATCATTTTTGTAGCAATTTCGAGCAATACGGAAATAATTTTGATTCCAACGCATTTTATTTCTACTTGCACACTTGAATTTGATAATACATACTGTAATGTTTTTAGAACTTTTTTCTATTGAGAAATGTATACATTACTTATTAAAAGGCTGTTAAAAATTATTCTTAAATATCGTACATGCATTTTCTTCCTAATACATAAGTGTTTACTTGTAACCTTTTCAATATTAAGTCTACTACAGATATTTGTACAAAATTTAAAACACAAAGACTGTTTGGAATTCCCTCTAATTTTTCAAATTATTTAGTGAAATTAAATTATTTATAGAAACTAAAAACGGGCTTTCTCTGTTAGGTGATCCTTATTACTAAGGTGAAAACTTTCTAAAAATCATGCTACATTTGCCTAAAATTCCCTGTACCTTTTCTGCTAAATCTGATGTTCATTATTTTTAAGAAGAAACATTTTGGGTCATGACAGATTAATCAAGGTTTAGCATGTTGTTAATATTAAAGGTATGGATAGTTTAATATTACTGAATGATTTAAAAAAGGAATTAAAATTAGAAAAGTACTCTTCATAATAATTTCGACTTTTACAGTAACCAACCTAAAATATACACATTACACTTTCTCACCCCCAATAATTAAGTCTAGGTCCCAATATCATCTTTCTATCCCAATTTGTTTGTATTTTAACCACTTTTGAAAATCCAAATTTGCTACTATTATAATAAAAGCAGCCTTGAGTGTGACCTTGCCATTTGAGTTTGAGCTACAATCACAAAATTTAATCAACTAATTCTTAGGGTACACCCAACCTTTGTACAAAGTTTGATTCAAATCAGACGAAAAACTTTTTGAATTATATGATTGGACTTCAATGTGACCAGTCACCTTAAAATCTAAGCTACATTCATCAAAAATTAATCAATTGATACTTGAGGGACATTCACCCTTAGTACCAAATTTGGTCAAGATCAGAAGAAACTTTGAATTTTCACACAGATACACAGTGGACGGAAAACAATACCTCCGCCATTGGGCAAGGTAATTATGTATGTAATATCATGTCTTGGCAAGATTCCTTCATTACTTATCAATCTAATAATAAGTCTCATAAGACAGCTGTTTGTATGTTTAAACATTCAATACAAAATAACTGTTTTGATCTGTCTGAAGTATTGTTAAAATGTATTCATTTTAGTGCACACTGCTATAATAATGACATGATTAGCTAAACAAATGAAGGGTATTAAGGAAAGTAACATACTATTTAAACCACAATCATTTATTAATGCAAAAATAAAGTTACTTTTGATACATGTTTTGACTACATTTGTTTGAACTATTATCATGTACACGCCTAGTGAAAGGTAGTTGAATGTTTTTTTTTTGTAAGGGTTTACACAAAGGTACTTTTCAATTTTAACAATACCAGTCACTAGTTTTGTTAAACCTTTTTATTAACAGTAAAACACTCAATGAAATAGTCTTACTTTTCACAAGTTAATCACTAAAGTTTTATAAAATTGGAAATAACCCAACAACTACAAACTGTAAAGAAAAAAACTGGGCACTTAATCTCATTACTAAAACCAACTCTAAACTTTAATGATTATAGTAAAAATAACCTTAAACTGACAATTACACCATTGTAAGCTTTCCTGTTCAAATGTATATATACTAATCATTAAATGATAGCTACAAACATACAGCCTTACAAAAGTAGTAGCTGTCAGTTTTCATTAAAAGACTACTTGGATATTATTGTACTAATCTCATGTTTAATTGCTTGAATATATCAATCATTATAGGACATTCAGAAAGAGACAAAATACCAAAGTAATGTATCTGTACTCTGTAGTTCACTCTGATGACTACTTACACATTATTGTAATCATTTTTTGAAGTTCTATGTAAATATATCTGACATTCATCTATATCTCATAAGTCTGCAAAAATTATAATAATAATAATGCCATAGCAAAAAAAATTTAAATCAGTTTCATAACCGTTTTTCGTTATACTAAATATATATAGTAATTTGGACTTCTATACTAAATACACGGTAATTTAGACTACTGATTTCTTCGTATTTGAAAAGAAGAAATGCATCTTTGGTATGTTTAAGTTACAACTAGTACTTTTATTGGTCATTATTTCAGTACTTGAAAATAAAGATGCATCAAAAATGGAATCTTCTTAAGACAAACTTAAACATGTGTGCACTCTGCAAGAAAAAGAGTGGTATGGGTCAAATCTGTAAAATACTAAAGACAAAAGTAGGAATAAAATGCAGTTTTTTTACCCCCCATACACCATTCCTCATTATTACAAGTTGAAGGTAAAAAGTAACTCATAAGACCTGACTAGCATTCAAAGATAATACAATAAAGTTGACATTAAACAAAAATTATTCTATTGGGATTAAAGCACTTGGCAGAATGTTATTCCAACTTGTAAATAAAAAGCAGTATACACCTTAATACATATAAATGCTTGAAAATGACTGTAAAAGGTTGGTGAATGATATTTGGTTAACACTGATAAATATTTTACCACATGGGACGTAAACTGTAGTTATTACTTGCAGAATCAACATAAACTCATTTGTATCAGCAATTTTGATTGTTGCTGTTTAGAGTTATTTTACAAAAATGGAAAGTTTTACAAAAAGAAAAGAAAAAATTTTGGTAGGAGGATTGAAAAAAAGAATTTGTTTTCCAAATCCAAAAATTATAATATTCATATAATTTTCTAGTTCTGAAAACTACAGAACTTTATACACTTATAATATTTTAACTTAGGTGCTTGTTAAAAAAGAAGGGTAGATAAAAGGTGAACAAAGTTATGTGAAGGTGAATGACAAGTTGTCTGGCAGAATAATATTCAGGTCTCTTTAGTTAACAACCTGTATTCCTCACTACTTAACTTCTAAATAGCAAATAATTAAAACTCTATTACATAAAGATGTGAGCAAATAATTTGAATTAACTTTACCCAAGTATTCACATAAAAAAATTTATTCAAACTCACTACTTGTTTTAATCATTTGTAATAATAATAGAAAAATATGCATTAAAAAATTAGAAGTTAAACGAAAACTAAATCTTACAATTTGCTAGCTTATCCTTTAGACCAATACACACACACACATTAATATTTACTGCAACAATTAAGGATAAGTGGAAACATACAATTTGCTAGTTTATACTTTAGACCAATACACACACACACATTAATATTTACTGCAACAATTAAGGATAAGTGGAAACACAAATGGCAAACGAGTGCAGATACAGTGTGATAAAATCTGAAAATACAAAAAGAAAGTAATAAGTGCTTAAAGAGGTATAATTATGTGGTAACTGTTTCAGTCAAATGATCCTATTGATGTAAATTGTTTTGTGAAAATGTTGACCACACATTTTATTCTTTACACCAATTTTTACCATTTCATTGTACTTAATGCTCTGTAGTGACTAAAAGGATATTAATTCAATCATTGTACACATCTAAAGATGAAAGAAAATATTACATGGTAGGTTTTATTTTTGAGCAATAACGAGCATCAATTAGATTCTCTTTCTCTCTTCATTGAAGTCTTTGGAAGTTTTGGAGCCTGGTAAAACAGGAGTGGTTACCAAACAACCATAATTACTTGGTTTAGATGGAGCTATTGATGTATCTTGAGCATTGAATCCTACCTGACTGCTAGTACATGGATTATTCACTTTTCCCAACAGGCACTGGTCAAAGAATTCATCCAAACATTGTTCCCATTCTGTACTACTCTCAGAACCAGGATGTACAGACATTTCAGGAAAATTGAAGAAATGAGAATTTTCCTGTGAAATATTACTTAGAGGTTCATCTTCTGAAGCAGTTACGGAGACCTCTGTGTAGCTTAGTCCAGAAGGCAGTTTGGCTTCTTCAGCACTAAAATCACTGAACTCCCTGTCGCCTTCACTGTCCATTATCTGCATCATACTAGAATGAGTTAATACTTGAACCACAGTTCTAGAGTTTGGCATTTTGTTTGTCAACAAAGCTGTCTGTCTGATGGAATGATGAGGAAACTTTGTACTTTGCTTTAATTGTTTTGTAACCACATCATTTGAGCTGAGGCAAACTGACTGACTTTCACAATTTTTTAGCTTCTTTTGCTGGTTATCTCTACAAAATGATGATGTAATGGAAGATTCAACTGAAGAAAAAAAGGAGCAATTAGCTTCAGATTTCTCATCTGGAAGATCACTACATAGAGATGCTGCAGGTGAGAATAAAGCACATGGATCTTCCACAAAAGAAGTATTTGTTTGTTCTACTTCAAATTGATTTGTGTCACATGGGTTCGAAGAAAAAGATTTTTCTACCATAGAACATGTTATTTTATCTTTAGTTAAAGAAAAAAAACTTGACTTACTAGCGTTATCACCATTTTCAGTATTCACAGCTGTCAGAAGAGGTTCTTTAATAAAGGGGTTGGTTTCAAGTGTAGAATCACGTTCTAAATCCATAGCTGTTAACAGAGATTTTTCCTGTATAATTACACTTCCTGATGGAACAGGTAGGCTTTCTGGAAGAAATTCAAGTTTCTTGCAAGCTTTTTCCTTATTTTGACCACCCATCAACAAGTCTAAGCTATGATTGTCAACACCAAGACATTTCCCAAAGTTTAATGGATAATCTTGCTGCTGGAATAACCGATAAGACTTAGCACGTGTGCAATTAAAGCACTTCTTAGTGTCAATGTCCCATTCATTACAACATGGCTTACTTTGATAAAATCCATTAATTGGAGGATTGATGAAACACTGTTTTTTGAAGTCAGTGGAGATATTCAGGTGTGTAGGATAGTTCCTGGTACAAGGTTTTTCTAGAAAGTTTTCAAAGAAGGGCCAACAGCAGTCAGATGTTCCACAACTAGGATAAATAAATTCATGTTCCACAAAGTTCTTGTCTCCTTCACTGTACATTTTTTGGTCATTATCTAACCATTTATCAAAGTTCATGTCTTCTTCACTGCACATTTTCAATTTCTTCAAAGTCTGGGATCTATCTATTGCACAATTACTACTAACTTCACATTCTACTTTTTTACCAGGTATAATAACAGAGTTTGTTTCATTCAAAAAACGTTTCACCTTAAAATTATGGCTGCTTTTAAGAAATTTAGATTTTTCACAATTACTATCAGTTTTGATCATTTTAGCTGAACATTTAGTAATGTTCCTATCTTCCAGTTCTGTGTTTTTTTTAAATTGATTGAAGTCTCCCAAATCTCTTTGCCTTGAGGTTGACAATGGACAAGGGTTGAGCCAATCATTTTGTGCTTTTTATTCTTGCCAAATGACATTCCATTAACTTGGGGTGCATTTTGCATGTTCTTTGCTGGATAGCAAACTGACTCCTTTGAATCACTGAGAAAGAAGATAAATGTCAAACAATTAAAATAAATTCCAGGTTCTCATTGATTTGACAATAGTAATTATTCACAGACTACTGTTATAAATTTTGGCCCATCTGATCATGTAATATGGTGATTTTTTTTTAGCTACATGGAGTAGACTGTTTGTAAAAGTTCAAAGTTCATCCAATAAAATTAAATAATTAGTTTTGTTTTGGTAGGCATGTTTTATAAAAATATTAGAAAGTTGAACTACTTTTTTTAAGTGTATATGTCTACTAACACATATATGCATATACATACACACACATATGTATATACTGTGTAAAAATCCAAATTTTACAATACTCAGTGACATTAACCATTATAACTAAAAGTATTATTCTGAATGTATAAAACTTTACAAAGAGTTTCTATTTTTATTCAGTCAACAAATGTTTACATGCTAATATTAATACATATTACTTCACAACATGAAATTTACTGACAGATAGGAGAATCAGGTCATTCAAACCAGTACAGATGAAAGTTTCAAGCATTCTGAAATCCATAGTATATTTTTATTCGTTATTTGCTATTTGTGTTGGTTAAGATAAAATAGGCATTAGTGCTGTGCATAAAGCTACTGGATCAGATGAAGACAAAACTGTTCACAGTATTTTTTCAATTACCACATGCATTTGTAAGTATACAGTAGAACTTCATTTATCTATATGGTTTATGGTCTCTAAAGTGTGGGAAAATGTTTGAAGGGAGACTATTATGAAAAACTGGAACAATATTATGGTGGAAAATGAAAACCTTTTATCTCTAGAAAGCAAACGTATAACTGAGGATTTTATCACAGCAGAGTTGTGTGAAATGGCAAATCAGTTAAAACCTGAGTCCCTCAATACTAACAACATTGATGTGTGGCTTGGGATTTACCATCGTCACTGATGCAGAAACTGTGAGCAGTGTTTGTGATGAGTGTAACTGTGATGATGACAGTGAAGAAGAAATTTCAAAGAAATTTGTGGAGAAGGTGCCAAGACTGCAGCACTACATATGCAACACTTTGTTTCTTAGTACAATTAGCAGAAGGATTCCAATTCTGTTAAATATGTCCTACTAAAGCAGATACAACAATAGGTTTTTCTCAAAGTGACTATAAAGCACTTTCACACCAACAGTATGTTTTCTTACTAAAGCAGTTACTAAGTAAAACCCAGCAAACATGTTTTACCTCACTGAAACAAGACTATAATGGACTTTCTCAAGCTTGAGAAAAATATCTTACAACAGTGAAATGTTTCAAAAACATTGTTACTAAAAACACTTCTTAAAAAACTTAAACTTCTTAACAAAGGGTACAGTTGGAAAACAGAATTTCAAGGGAGTTAAGAAAGGAAATAGGGCTAACAGCTTGGAAAATAATGTATTTAGGGGCAAGGATGGGCTTTTAGTTAAGGCTAAGCAACTGGTTCCAAGCACTTGCTAGTGATGAGGGAAATGTTTCAAAAATGTTTCAAAAACACTTCTTAAAAAACTTAAACTTCTTAACAAAGGGTACAGTTGGAAAACAGAATTTCAAGGTAGTTAAGAAAGGAAATAGGGCTAACAGCTTGGAAAATAATGTATTTAGGGGCAAGGATGGGCTTTTAGTTTAGGCTAAGCAACTGGTTCCAAGCACGTGCTAGTGATGAGGGAAGAGCAGGTAAGGGAAATAGATGGGATCACAAGGGATAATAATGTAAAAGCTAGTTAAGTTATAGTTGTAGGTGACTCTCTACCTAGATAGAATAGTATGTGGAGTAAATAGGAGCAAAAGAATATGCTTATGCTATCCAGGAGCAGGGGTACAGGATATAACTGATAGAACCAGAGAGATAGTTAAGGGTGCAAGTATCAATACAGTTTTTGTAGTACATGTTGGGGATAATGATGTAAGGAAAAATGGATCTGAGGAGCTTATTGATAAGTATAAAACACTGATAAGGGAATTTAAGAAAAGGGGTCATAGCTTGGGTTTTATTACGGATATTACCAAAAACAAATTGTGGGGATGAAATACTAAATAGGTCACTAGGATTGAATGCCAGGCTTAGATCAATATGTAGGGATGAGCAAATAGGCTGGATGGATTTGTGGGATAATTTTAATTGGAAAATTATATTTTTGGAATGGATGGCTTACAGTTAAACAAGGCAGGGGCTAGCATGTTAGCAAGTGCTATTAACTCAGCTGTAGTGGTAGATTCAAAGTAAAACTAGACAGAGGTGAGGGCTATGATATTAGTAAGATAGAAAATATAATTGACAAGAAAACATGTCCAACAGGCATAAAACATGAACATAATTTAAAATCTATGATTAATTGTTACTATTGTAATACTAGGAGTATTAGAAATAAAACTGATGAGTTCAAAGCAGTCATGGAAAGTGAGGATTTTGATATTATGGGTATCACTGATACTTGGTTGGATTTTAATAATTTGGATTAGAGAAATTTGTTTGAAATACCAAGCTTCAGAATATTTACTAGAGATAGAGTACTGAGAAAAGGGGGAGGAGTAGCTCTATATGTGAGGAGTGAATTGCATCCTGTTGAGTTAGAGCATATTAAAGAAAATAGCACTGAGGTTGAGTCAGTTTGGGTTAGTGGATATAAAGGGAAAAGTCTTGTAATTGGGAATTGTCATAGACCACCAGGTCAGAATGTAAAAGTTAATGAGAAACTGTATAAAGAGATTAGAATGATAGCTGAAGATTTTAATTTCAGGAATATTGAATGGTAAACTTTCGAGTCTGACAGTGAGGAGGACAGGTTTTGGAAATTGTTCAGGATACTTTTATACACAAACTGATCACAGAACCTGCAAGAGTTTGTTTTGTTTTGAATTTTGCGCAAAGCTACACGAAGGCTATCTGCACTAGCCATTCCTAATTTAGCAGTGAAAGACTAGAGGGAAGGCAGCTAGTATTCACCACCAACCGCCATCTCTTAGGCTACTCTTTTACCAACGAATAGTGGGATTGACCATCATATTATAAAGCCCCCTAACCACTTGGCCATGCTGGACTACCTACAAGAGAGGAAGTTATATTAGATTTAATATTAACATCTGATGCAAATATGATAGAAAGAGTTGTGGTTGGTGAGCATTTAAGTACAAGTGACCATTGGGATTTTACTGCATGATGAATTGAGGAAAAATAGTACCCTGATTCCAAGTATCAGGAAAGCCAATTTTGATGGAACGAGACATAATCTGGCTTCTGTAGATTGGACTAAAACGTTGGGAGGGGATCTTGAACAGATGTAGGTAGCATTTAGGGAAATATTAATATGCATACAGAACATACATATTCCCTACAGAAAAAAAAAGGGCAATGGAGCGGAACAAGCCAGTATGGTTTAGTAAAGGTTTAAGAGATCATATTAGGGATAAACATAATAATTTCAAGTAATTTAAATTTACTGGAAATAATAAGGACTTGGAGGACTCTAAAAATTAAGAGCTGGTTAAAAAGGAAGTTAAAAGGGCAAAACTGTATATGAAAGAGGGTTGGCTGAGAAGGTTAAACCAAACAATAAGGAATTCTTTAGGTATATAATGGGTGAGCAAAATGTCAGGATGAGGATTGTACCTCTTAAAAATGATAGTGGGGAGTTGATCTCTGAAGATTATGAGATGGTAAATTTATTAAATTATACATTTTCTTCAGTTTTAAAAAGGAAGATACAACAATTATGCCTCAACCAGAGCACTTAATGTATGGGGAAAATATTGAAGTAAAAGATATCATATTAAGTTCTGAAATCATAAGACAAAAGTTGGGAAACCTAAAAAAATTGATAATTCCCTTGGACCAGACAACTTTTATCCTAGAGTTATAAAGGAACTTAAAGATTTTATTTGTGAACCACTAGCTAATATTTTTATAGGTCATTGAGTAATGAAAGAGTATTAGAAGATTGGAAGATGGCTAACGTTAGTCCAATATTTAAAGAAGATGATAAACATTGTCTAGGCAATTATAGGCCAGTTAGTCTTACATCAATAGTTGGAAAGGTTTTGTAGAGTGTGATTAAAGATGCACTTAAAGCAGTTTAATAAAGTGTCAATGAGCCAGCATGGTTTCATTGAGAGAAAGTCTTGTTTAGCAAATCTTCTGACATTCTTTGAGAATGTTACTGCAAGAGTTCATGAAGGAAATACTGAGAATTTGGTTTACCTTGATTTTCAGAAAGCATTTGATAAGGTGCCTCACAAAAGACTTGTTAGAAAAATGAACTCTGTGGTTTTGGAGAAATGTTATTAAGTTGGATAGAAAATTGGCTAGGGAATAGAAAGTAGAGAGCAGTAATGCAGTTAGATCTGATTGGATCACTGTTACAAGTGGTATGCCTCAGGGCTCCGTGCTGGTTCTTCTGCTGTTTGTGATTTATATTAATGATATTGACTTTGGAATGACTAGCAAAATATTGAAGTTTGCAGATGACATTAAGATTTTTGGGATGTTGCAGACTTACAGGGAGATTTAGATCATTTGATGCATTGGGCCAATATGTGGCAGATGATGTTTAACTATCCAAAATGTAAGGTGATGCATGTAGGTTTTCACAATTCAAATTATCATTACAATTTAAATGGGAATACATTAAATACTATGGTTGAAGAAAAAGATCTTGGTGTTGTGATCAAAAAATCACTTAAGTAATCTAAACAGTGTATTGTAGCTAGCAATAGGGCTAATAGAATTTTGGGTTTCATCTATAGAAATATTGAATACAAGACAAGGGATATTATTGTTTCACTGTATAGATCACTTGTAAGGCCTCATTTAAAGTACTGTTTACAGTTTTGGGCTTCCTTCCTCAAGAGGAACATTGAATTGTTGGAGAAGATTCAAAGAAGAGCCACTAGGATGATACCTGGGATGGTGGAATTGTCCTACGAGGAGAGATTAAAATCTCTAAACTTCTTTTTGCTGGAGAGGAGAAAGGTCAGAGGGTAAAAGATTGAGGTGT